AAACACTGCAGAACACTGAAACACTGCAGAACGTCACTGTAAACACTGCAGAACACTGAAACACTGCAGAACCCTGAAACACTGCAGAGCGTCACTGTAAACACTGCAGAATCCTGAAACACTGCAGAACGTCACTGTAAACACTGCAGAATCCTGAAACACTGCAGAACGTCACTGTAAACACTGCAGAACACTGAAACACTGCAGAACCCTGAAACACTGCAGAACCTTTAAATACTGCAGAACCCTGAAACACTGCAGAACACTGAAACACTGCAGAATCCTGAAACACTGCAGAATCCTGAAACAGTGCAGAACGTCACTGTAAACACTGCAGAACACTGAAACACTGCAGAATCCTGAAACACTGCAGAACCCTGAAACAGTGCAGAACCCTGAAACACTGCAGAATCCTGAAACAGTGCAGAACCCTGAAACACTGCAGAACACTGAAACACTGCAGAACCTTGAAATACTGCAGAACCCTGAAACACTGCAGAACACTGAAACACTGCAGAATCCTGAAACACTGCAGAACCCTGAAACACTGCAGAATCCTGAAACAGTGCAGAACGTCACTGTAAACACTGCAGAACACTGAAACACTGCAGAATCCTGAAACACTGCAGAACCCTGAAACACTGCAGAATCCTGGGTTGTAAACACTGCAGAACACTGAAACACTGCAGAACCCTGAACAGCTGCAGAATGTCACTGTAAACACTACAGAACTGTGAATCACCGCCGAACCCTGAAACACTGCAGAACCCTGAATCAGCAGAACGCCACTGTAAAGACTGTGACTGCAGAAAGGACTGCAGTGTGCAGAACACCGTGGAACACAGAAACATTACAGACCATAAACACTGTGACTCTGTTAATGAAAGGTTGATATTTTTGGCTTTTTTTAACACAGCTCTTGTGCAGTTACAAACAGATTTCTCATGGATACAAAAAGAACACTTCTCTCCGTAGCTGTTTGCTGTGAGTGCTGCACCTGACCAACACATCCTGTTACACAGACTTGAAGACTTAATTGGCATTAAAAGAACTGCATTAGGTTGGTTTAAATCCTGTTTATCAGATCAATCTTTATTGACCTTATATGTGCTTCCTCTAGCTAATATAACACTGCAATCGTTTTATTGCTATGCAAATGATACTCAACTTTACCTATCAATGGTCAGTTACGTAAACTAAGGACATTAGGGCCTGGATGACCAGACGTCTTCTGCTACTCCACATTGTACTTGGTCCTAAAAACCTCAGAGAGACTTTTTCTAATTATATAACTGTCCTTAATGACATCAGCCTGGCATCTAGCACCACTGTTATGAATCTAGGAGTTCTATTTGATCGAGATATGTCCTTTAACTCACACATAAAACACATTTCAAGGACTATTTTCACATTAGGAATATCCTGATGCAGAAAAGCTAGTACATGCATTTGTTACCTCCAAGTTGGATTATTGAAATTCTCTTATATCAGGGTGCTCTGGTGAGTCACCAATGATGCCTGCTCCACTTTTCAGAAAATGTGTGCTCAAACACTCCGTTTGGAGATGTTCCCTTCATGACATCACAAAGGGCAGTAGCCCCTCCCCCAGGTGGGTGACTCTCCCACAGCTAGGTGTTTGTTCTGCCCTCTGAGTCTGCCTTCTCACCGTAAACAATAGGACATGGAGCGAGAAAGCCAGAGACACCCAAGCCCTTCCAGAGAGGGGGCGTGGTCAGACACAGCTCATTTACATATTTAAAGGTACAGACACAGAAACAGCCTGTTCTGAGCAGGGCTGAAATAGAGGGGTTTATAGACATGATCAAATACAGGATCAGAGTGGATTTAGAACAAGAAACTTCACACACATGTTTTGGGGAACTCTGACACTTATTTACACTGAAGAAGAGGAGGAGATGTGACCTTTAAAGAGCTAACAGTGCCACATTTCCCTTCTAGAACAATGCGCTCCCAGAATACAGGCCTGCTTGTTTTACCTTTAGTACTACGTGATGTAGAGCCTTCAGTTACCAGGCCCCTCTCCTTTGGAACCATCATAATGTCAGGGTCTGAGAGGAGACCGACTCTGACTCTAAAAGTAGACTTAAAACTTTCCTTTTTTATAATCTGGCTAAGGCTTGGAACAGCTCCTAGTTGTGCTGCTGTAGGCTTACTGGAGGATTTTTACAGTATCTGTGTGAATGGAGAATGATGTACAGGTTGATACATTGTGTGATTGATGTACAGGTGGATGCATCATGAGACTGGCGGGCAGGTCGATGCATTGGGAGTTTTATGGACAGGTCAGGATAGTATGCATCTTAATGTCCACAGGTAGACAGTCTGCACCAGTGATATCAAGGGAGTACATGTAACTTTGAGGATATGACCACAGATTCAACAGGTAAGAAGGTCACCCCTCTCCCTCTCTCTCTCTCTCTCTCTCTCTCTCTCTCTCTCACACACACACACACACACACACACACACAGTAAGTCATAC